CACCCCCACAACAAAGATTTGGCTTTTGTGACAGTTCCCTTTTCCTTTATGCTACGATGACATTTCCGACGACTCTTCTGCGACACCTTGCACGTGTTCAGAAGTGAAAAACAAACTTGCGGTCACACGATCTTAAAATATCAGGAAAAAAGACAAGTAAATACAAGAGTGAAGGGATTTCTCACATATAAAAAAGTTCCTGATGATGGCGAACAGCATTGGTAGTTGACAGCAAGCAGTCGCCATCTTTTGCGGTAGACCTGGGGCTTAACTCAAAGAGCCGTGCACAACAATCCTGTAGACTATTCAAGATAGAGGTAAGCAGTCCTGCATTCCGTTACCCCTTTCGTCTGATCATCGCCCACGTTGCTACGGTCTTTGGCGACATGTATTTTTCGACACGCGGCATAAGAACATCTATAGAGAAAAACATTTTTTTCGGATATCACAAAAAAAAGATTGAATCTCGATAACTGTTTTGCTATACATTCTGGTAAAAAAGAGCCGCATGTGGTCAACTCCCAAAGTCAAACTCTATTCCCGTTCCGCTGAGCTTGTCCATAACTTCTTCATCAAATCTTTTATTCAGTTCTGGAGTGAAGTAATTCTTCCAGTCACCGACCTCTCCCTTACGTAACAGTTTTAACCCCTTGGGTAGCCAGTAGTTTGACGCATTTTTCGTCATTCCCTCAAAGCTGCAATTTTCAGCAATCCTGTTTATGACGTCTGCTGTTAGTGGTTTGTCAAGGAACTCGGTAATCCTTCGAACATGGCTTGGTAAATCCTAAAAAAAAGTACACTAAATTATAGAGAGATCTTCCTTAAGGTTGGTTCTCATATAATTGTCCCGATCGTTTGCAACCGCCGAGACGACATGAAGCGTTCCAAGCGATTGGGAGCGATAAGGAGGTTCTCATTTAATCATCCCGAACGTCTGCTGTGATCAAGGCGCGTGGTCAAGGCCTGGGCCTAGGCATTTTGTCCAGAACTCGATGGGACACTCCTTCGTTTCTTCAAGTAACGACCGTACGAGGCGCGAATGTTTTTATATCTTTTCTCTGCCTCGGGGGCATCCAAACCAAACTTTTCTCTTATAGCTTTCCAATAGTTGAACCTAATATACTTATTTTTATATTCCCTAGAAAACTTGTTGTTTATACACTCGAATTTTTGGACTTCTTCAATGAACGCCTGATTTAACTCTACTGTTTTGGCGGCCATGTTGGTTGTGAGGCCGTGTTGAGTTCAGGTTGATATTGATGCACCATGGAACAGTTTGGATCGCTTCCATCGACTCCCGGTCAGAAAGTGGTTCTCATAAAATCGTTCACGATCGCCCCGGTCTGCGACCAATCGCCCGGATAGAACACGGACGATCCAAGCGATCGCGATCGTCCCAATCGCTACCGGCATTAACGATCGTCTGTATCGTAAGACCACTTTTTTAAGTGACAGCGGTGATTGAAACGATCGGGACGATTATATGAGAACCAACCCTTAACGTTACTATTCCATATATCGAGAGTTACAAAGGAAGTGTTCGTGAGGGGTCGACACCAGGACTATGTCCCCTCGTGGGATGTTCGCCCCCCCCCCCNACTAAAATTCAAAATCATTGATTATTTTCTTCTAACAATATTTATTTATCAGATAGAAGTGCCAAAAAGCCTCACTGCGTTCGGTCTGTACTCACGACCTCGGTCAAGATTCTCCCATACAGACCTCCTGCTCGGTTAATAAGAGCTAATTCTAGCTGGCGACTATTGTAAACATATTACTAAAGAAAACATTTGGCATGGTAAGTCATGATTATGAATTGACATCCGCGTCACAAGCAATCTTTGCCTTACGGTAGCGCGAGCTGAAGGATCATTGAAGCGTCGTTGAAGGGAAGGTGGGTGAGGAACCTTGTTAAACCCGAGAACTCCAGTGAGAAATGCAAGATTAGATAGACAGATATGCATCGTTATTACTCTCACCTTTTCCTTCTAGTAATAACCTTGCAAAAAACTCCCACGGGCCATTAAAACCTGAAACTGATGTAGAATCCTTAGGCTTCAAAAATTCATAAAATGATACAGCCACATCCTTAGGATTACGCATGACGTAAATGTACTTGCACTTTGTGTCTTCAGCCTTTCCTTTAGGGATGACGTCATAGGTGAGGTGAGTATGGAGAAGCCGTGGACTGGGCAAGGCTGTGACGTCAATGCGATCAGAGCTCGTTCCACGCTCCAACATTGGAACTCGATCAAAAATCTTCGTTGTGCTTTTTTCTCCATTGTTATACACTTGCCACAGAATTTCCTGAAGCCAAGTCGTCCCTTAAAAGAAAACATTCCTAGTTAGTGGGATAAATGGATTGTTACAGGGATGAATGGATTGTTGGGAAGTAAAAACCCGATGTAAAAACGTTTTTAAACTATTTTTTCACAGCCATAGGGTCTGGATAATTTGGGTTTTAGACAGCCTTTAGCTTAAATGAAACATTCACAGGTGTCTTCCTGTTTCTTTAATCACAGATTTTCACAGGTTCTCATCTAGAAGTGTAAAGCCACACCCACCTAGGTAATACAGACACATTTTCGCCTCCAAAACGGATAAAATGGTTGCGGCTGTCTCTAATCCGTATCATAACTATATTTCTTCGGCTTGACCTTCCGTCCTCACTAAAACGATCACAGAAACGCTCAAATGCACGGTTGAGCATGCGCAAATTCAACTTCTGACGCCGGCGTTTTCGAACAACTTCCTTTTTAGGGTGGGCAGTAGGCTACAACGGACAGAAAAATAGGTCTCCATATTTATCTAGATTTATAGTGTCAACGCGGCCTTAGGGAAAATCAACTGAAATCGGTGCAGTTGGGAAAAATTGGCCGAGTAGTGCCCTAGGTGTTCACAGAGTTTCAAAATTTCGCACTCTGTGGAAAACCTAATTTTCTACGTTTGTGATTAGGTCTTGAAAGACTGGCCCGTCCCGACAAGCACTACCTATCTGCATGCCAGTCTAACTATAAAATGTAAATTGAGGAACGAAAATAAAGATTGAAAGATTGACCGATGGACTGACTGTGTTGGAACTATTGTGAGAAATGGCTCATCTTGGCTGATTTCAATGAAAACGAAGGATTTTTGCGTATTGAACTTACTAAAATTGGAAACGTTTTCTAATAGGAACATTCAAATATAATTATTGAAACTGTTTTGATCCAGTTTGAAAACACCAAAAACACCTATTGATTCAAAAGANTAAGTTTGCCAGTATCCATTTATACACCTGGGTGGAGAGAGGCACTGTGAGAGTAGAGAGTCTTGCCCAAGAACACAACACAACATCCCCGGCCAGGGCTAAAACCCGGACCGCTCGATCTGCAAACAAGCGCACTAACCATGACGCCACTGTGTGTGTCAACAAAGTGCATTATAAAATAAATATATTTTGCATTCACAGAATAAAAAATAATAACAAACACATTTATTAATTTAATAATGTGACATTCAGAGGACAACAGAACTGCAGCATGTTGACTCCATAATTGTGCATATACTGTAGCACCCAATGTTAGGCCCACTGCGCAGTCTGGGCATATTCTTTAAAGGCCTCTTATCAGGTCAAGGTGATCAAGCATTTATCCTGGTTTTTGTAGCATTTTTAAAAGCACCGCTGGAAGAGAACCTAAGAAAAACCTGTGACTTTAAAACTGTGATGTGCTCAGCCTGTAATAAAAATCTGTGAATTTTACTAGAAGTAATTTCTGTCTGTGAAAGTAATTTTGCCTGTAAAGAAACCTGTGATGTCAGCTCAGTCACCCTGAGAAAAAAAAGTGTGATTTTTGCACGAACTAAATTCTGTCTTAATTGGTGCAAATGAAAAAACCTGTGAAATTAGTTCAGATGGTTTAATTCACATGAAGTGTCCTGTCTGTCACTCAGACAGGACACACTCTTTTTTAACAGAGAGGACATATTCTTGAAAAGCCTCTATCAGGTCAAAGTGTTCCAGAGCCTATCCTGGTTTTTGAAGCATTTTTAAAAGCACTACTGGATGAGAACCCAATAAAAACCTGTGACTTTAAAACTGTGATGTGCTGTATGTTATTCACATGGTTTAATTCACATGACCTGTTTTTCCCAGGTTCTCATCCTGTTATAGTGACATGACTATAGCAAGTATTTCTGCTATCTCTGAATGAGATCCTAGTCCATTGTAGGACTTCACTGACAATAAATTTGCTGCTAACAATATATTTTACCCCAGTGGAGAGAGGCACTCTGAATGTTAAGTGTCTCACCCATTACATGCATGACACAACAGCCTCACTTGGGAATTGAAGTGGTCTTCCAGAACAGAGTATCTGATAATCTCTGAAAAGGCTGTTTTTCTATTAAATCTGTACATAACAATTCTGTATCTAAGAAGATCTAGATTTTCTGCAAATAACTATATTCACATCATAACTGTAATGATCTATCATGATTCACCATCTGCAGGTATAATTTAGGTTAAAGCCAAGTAGCTATTGGGGTTGATACATTATGCCAGCATAATTTCCAGCATAATAGTATTGGTGGAACTTTGAACATTAGATACCAGCATAGCAGTACCATTTTGCTGGCTTAATGGTTTCATTTTGCGATAAACAATCTTTTACTTTTTATACATGTTTTAGCTACAAGCAAATTGCGAGCCAAATTAAAGTTATAAGTAGTTTTTAGCTTGTTCACAGTGCAATTCTAGTTCTTTAAGTCTGGTTAGCTAAATTATGCCAGGCTCCTAAGGCCTATCCTATGATTCCTGCAATCCTGGCAGGAATTCTTTTTTGCACCCTCCAATAATTATTACTTGTAGTAAGTATAATAGATACTGTAGATGTCAAAGACAGTTTGGACCATAACAGTCCATTTTGGGAGGCAGCATAGTACTCCATTTTAAGAGCATAATGTGTCAACCCCAACTGATTGGTCCATCAGCCCGCCACTCATCTCTTGCTTTTGTATTGAAGTGACTAGGAGTATATACATCCCCCTGGATGGGATGCTGGTCCATTGCAGGGTCACCCCCGTCCCCCACCTCCAACAATAAATACACCAGTACTCATCTATATATCTGGGTGGAGACTAGATACTGCGAGAGAGAAGTGTCTTGCCCAAGAACACATTACAGAATGTTTTCACACACAAACCATCCTACCACTTTCAGCATATTCAGCATAAAATTTTAGCAACTTACATTAAATTACACTTACTTTACTTTCAGCCTCCTGGGACTAGGAAGGACAACCTTATAACACAGAATTTGGAATCCAGAATCCCGAATCCAGATGTCTGTAATCCAGAATTATTGAAATTGAGAATGAAGAGAGAAAAAATTCACTTTAGTCCGATAAATAATTAGAGGAAAAAATGTTATTGTTGTTGTTGCAATTCTCTTTGTACTGTAAAAATACAACTAGTTTTGAACAACTCCCCAGCTATTCAATCATGTGGCCAGGTTGTGCTGAAGGTGGATAAATCCATTGGATTAATCCTTATCCAGTCATGGTAAGTCAATATTCAGGTGGATAGATTTAGCCATCCTTTGATGACCTTAATTTGATCAACCTGGCTCCAACAAGAGCACACAAGAGTGCGATTCTTGCCAAGCTCACATTGCTCAGAGAAGAATCCATGCAAGGTGAGTAGCACAAAAGTCACAACATTGACATCAAAGCAATGCTTGCGTGTGATGAATCTTTCAACAAGGCAACCCCAAATGACAGAAACCGGAATCCCAGAATCCAGAATCCACAGATCAAAGAAAATGACATCTTCAAATACAAGAAAATTACATTGCATTGAATTTGTCTGTAAGAGTAAAAAGCCAATAAAAGGGCCTCAAACTTCACTTCTTTTGAAACGTGTGTTCTCTGCCAGTTGAAATTCATGTAACAGTTATCTCTACTGAAGGCTGTTAGGTTATAAGAATTTAAACAAATGTGTACCATACTTTAATCCTAAGCACCCTGAGAGTAAGCTTGCTGTTAATTGCCATTTTTTTAAAGTGATCTCCAATTTGCCGAAGATATGCCAAGTAGACACTGAACAAATTAGCAATGCCATAGAGAGCTGGGTTTCCACCAGTGGTAGCAAGCTATACGATATATATGCAAAGGTTATCTTAGTTCGTCCATTGTAAATAAGTTTCTTTTACCCAAATATATATATGAGATTAATTCTAGAACAGCACTATTTTCACAGTGATACTGTTGCAAATCACCACCAGATATTCTTATCCGCCATCATATTATAATAATTCCTAGAAACAGTTCCACACTTACTTCTGACTTTTCCTCGTTTGCGAACCGATCGGACCACATGCTGTTAAAAGATGCTTAAAGATTGCCAGAAACAAATTGCACGCAAACATTGCTTTGATGTCAGTGCTGTGAGAAGAGGTTTTTCTGCTATAGTGCTACTCACTAGTCCCCTCAAAGCAATATGATCTAGACAAGAATCGTGCTCCTGCCACGGCAAGTTTCAACTAAGGATGGGTCACTCTATCCACCCGAAAAATTAGTCACCCTGATTGAATGGCGATTTACCTAGTCATAGGAAATCCACCTCTTGAACAACTGGGCCACCTACCAGTACTCATGCATTTTAACAATATTACAGTTTGCGGTTGAGGCTGAAAGCATAGGAAAAAAAGACAAAATTGTTTTTCCCATATTGAACACTGGACATTGCTGAAGTGAATTATTTCTGTTGTCATTCTCAATATCAGTAATCCTGTTTTCGTATTCCCAGCCTATTCCAGGCATGGAGTTAGTTGGGGTGCAGCACAAAAAAATGGTGAGCAAAATCATAGCGAGATTAGTGGAGTGAGAGAAAGTGAAAGAATGCCTCTGGGCAAATTTAACAAAAGGTCGTTCCAGTATACCAGGATTTGGTATACCCTCTGATTAGGCAATTTTGACAGATTTTATCAACACTTGAGTGTTACTGACTGCAGATGAGAAATGTGATATGGCGGCAGTCAGTGTAAAATGGGGTTAACAGGGCTACACGACTCCTACAGACTAACAGTTCGTAAAATGAATTTGTACATTTATTTTGCATTCTATTTTTGGTGTTTCAACCTTTCTTTGCTTCACACATGTTTATGAAGGGCACTTTATGTTGTGTTATTAGGGCCCGGCTGTTTGATTTGAACAGTTTCCAAGTACAGTATGTTACTTCTTATCATGGATATCATATGGTACAAAAGCAAAATTGGACAAGATAAATATGGCAAATTTTGACATATTTATCTTCGTCCTATTTTTCTTCAGAGACTGCCATAGCTTTACTTCAAGAAAGAACACCGTGATTTTCCATTTGATTCCTGTCGATCTCCTGAGAAGGTGTTAGCACGCTTCGCGTATGGAGTATGTCTAGTTGGCAGTCTATTGTTCTTTCTACAATCCTGGAGAATTGTTTCTCAACCTATCTGCTGACAACTGAAAACCACAAGCTGGCGGTCATGTTACAGGTCCCGTAGGCCATTTATAAGTGGGTGGAAGGACCTTTTGTTAAGTTTGCCAACAGGCATTCTTTCGCTTTATCTTGCCGCACTTCCCCCCATTGTTTTGCTCGCCGTTTTTCACACTGTGCTCCAACTTACTGAACGCCTAGAAGAGGCTACCGTATTCGGGATTCCGGACTTCCGCTTCCACATTCCGGATTCCGAATTCCATGTTTCAGGGTCACTGTGCCGTCGCTACATTATTTAACGAAGCAGATACTGTGCCCCATGGTCGGCATTACACAGTTATCTGCAGTTGTATGGCTGCCACATGAGCTATTTAACAGCTTACCTGACTTGGGATAACTTACAACAAACACATCATCACCTCTCGTTTGAAAATTGACGATGTAATCGCGCAGTGCCGCAGGATTTGGCGTGAAGAAGTCATGAATTCGAATTCCTTCCAATAAAAAAGTCTTCGAAGATGTCCATTCTCCTTCTTGTTCTTGAAAAACTGGGAAACTACAACTGGACATCGCTATAGATATATATACAGAGTCCTGAATAGTGACAAAGTGTAAGCTAGTGTAAGCGTTGAAATTCAAAATCCCAAATAGAGTACTCGCCGTGTTGAGAAGAGTTGAATGCATAAATTATGTTCTGACGTAATAGCACTTGGCATCAATATTCCAGGGTCACTCTGACCAGGATTAGAAAAGAAACATGAAATAAACTACCCTTCGTAACAGCCGTTTCCTTTCCACCATTTTCCGAGGAGATCGAGCAAGTTATCGAGCAAACGAGCACGCCTGGGGTGAGAAAAAAATGGGGTGAGGAGGGGTGTGAGTGAGCACGCCCCCCTCCCCCTCCACATTCCGTTTCTTGTTTTTTCGCACTCGCTCACAGTTTAGTTCCCTTCGCGTGATTTTGGAAACTGAACAATAATAGCATGAAAGTAACAGAAGCATCATTCTCTAATTGAGGTTTGCTATTGAAACGAAAAGTTATTACTGTAGCGCCCCGAAACATTGAAATGAATGATTCTTTCTAGAGCAAGATCTGTTTCGGCGTAGCAAAGACTTTGCCTTGTTGTTGTACGGCTTTCTCCAAAGCCTCCACGGCCCCAAACGTGCCCACACTTTATGCCTCAGACCACGTGACCAGTCGTGGCTAAAGTACTGGGCAAGCCAAAACGTAAGTGACAACTCATCTTTTGACTTCTCGGGCCGCCATTTTAATGTCACGCAACGCTGAGTAACTACTGCTATCAAGTTTGTTTAGACAAGTACCTGAGCAGAGTCCCTTCATCTCATAGACTGTTTACAGCCTTACCGTGAGAGCAGCAGTGCCGGCCGCTCTACCCTTCCCGTCCAATTCTCTTGGGATTCTTTTCGTGAGTGTAACGAAAACAGAAAAAAAAAACGAGAAAATAGAGGATAGTATACATGCCTATTTTATTAAAACCTTCTCAAAATCTTAGTGAAGTTTTTCAGGAACAACATTATTTTATAATAATTTTTAATAATACATAAATAAGGAATAGCATCAGCAGAAATAAAGTATGATTCATTTCCGTTTATCGAAAACTAAAATTACCAATTTAGAGCACAGAAAACAGAGCTAACTGCAACAAGGTTATTTGAAAAGTAGAAGAAATAAGTAATACCCAAAAACCACTGAAAACTATAGTTCTAACCTTCTGTCGTCTGCGGTCTGTTTTTTATGCATTATTAGCGAGTGACATACGAAAAGGTCAATAAATTATTTGTGTCTAACAAATATCACAGAAACATTAACTTAGTCCTTGTTCATTATCCTACTAACAAGTTCAAAAAATCTCATAAGTTCTTCTTGTCACAGTATTTTCGGCCATACGCCAAGGGACTAGCTGTAGCTTCTACCCGCGCCTGGAGTTTGTTGCCATATCTTGTCAATGTATATGTCTATATGTGTAAAGTCTTGTTCGTAATTTACCTCGGGTTCTTGCTCTTTCGTCGACAATGTTTTAACACTTCTATCTCATAAAATTAAATTATGATCAAAATATTACAACAGATGACTGTTGCTTCTGCATTCCTTGACAGAGGGGAAAAGGCAAACAGGTTCACTGTTTTTATCAACCAACAATTTTTCTAATTCTGCCAAGTTCATCGACCTCATGCCAACTCTTTCTCGGTCAAAGTCATTGTTTCCCATGACTGCAATAGACTGAGCTCTTTGTGTTTCACTCTCATCATTCCAAACACAGCATCCCGCTGTCCACATGGAATTGGGGCGCACGATGCGATCTTCTACATCGGCGCTTGGAAAGTAGTGAATCTGCAAGAAAGGGGGGAAAAAGGAAATTTTCTCTCAAGAAAATGCTATAACGTTTTTGTTTTCATGGCAGCACAGCCAGGGGCACAACCATTAAAGTGATTCCTTAGAAATAAAAGTTGTCGAACGATTATTTTGAAACTTTCTTTGAATGTTCCTTACCAAGCACTGTTTCGAAAAAATAGATTTAAAAGATAGATCACAATGCTCGGAAAAGAGCTATGATGGACCAGTCTTACCCCATTTATTAGCTAATTACGTGCGTTATTTCATCCGTTACATTTTGCAGTAGCTGAAAGCAAGCATATGGAAAAATGTAATAGATATGTTATGGAACAATCACAATTTTAAACGAAGACACTCTAAACGCTTCCCAAGTCGTTGCTCTCAAGGTCAAAATTTGCATCCTCGAGAAACGCTTTTGCCCATGCTTTTAGGTATATCTTTTTCTCCTTCGGAATTTGTTTTTTTAATTTTTAACCTAAAGAGGATAATCTGTACCGTGTATACAAAAATTATGTAATACAAAATATGGGTCACCGTGCTCGTTTAAGAGAAAACAAACATTTATTTCGCAGAGGAGCCTAGCTTGAGGAAAATCTCTAAATGCTGTGTATGTGCACGCGCTTTTGTGCGAGAGCTAATGACGCGAATCGAAAATTGTGCAGAGTAGGCATGCATAATGCAATTCTGAGGAATTACCTTAACTGAACAGTAATTTACGTTCAATGTTCTGATAACAATCTCACGAAATTAGCTTGCGAGCAAACTGTTAGGTTATTAGAAAATTGAAGATTATAGCTAAAAGAAGTGTGGCATAAAATTATAAGAAGCTCGATCACAATACGATTTTTACTTATACTGAAAGCAGAATTTTAATGCATACAGTTCAAACTAATGCGAATCAGTTGTTGTGTCTGTCTCACTAACTACACTATCGCTATTTGCAGTGTTCTAAAAAACTGGCAAATGAAATGAAAGCTCCACATCTTTTATTCAAACAGAAAGTCTTAGCAAACATATCAATTTTTTCATTGCACACTATACTATAATTCAATGTTCCAGTTTCTGCCTTCAAATATATATGCCTTCCTCAGAATCCTGGAATTTCCGATTGAGGCCAGAAAGGATAAAAGGGAAGAGAGGTAATCCGCATATAGGCCTTGTCCCTAAGTTAACCCCGCCAAAGTTATTTTCACCCCACCCCTAATCCTGGAAATCCCAGGAGGTTTTAGAAATAGCCAATCCTGTGACGCACATTTTACTCGCGTGGACAGCCCACGTAGTTTTATGCACATTTTCATCTTCCACAAAAATATTCACGCAAACGCGCATGCTAACAATATCGCGGGAAAACTTGGCACCATGTCTATAAATAACTTGAGAAGCATTACTTGTGGAATAAGGCCCCTATGAGGTATTAACTCTATTGCCCCATCCTTTCTTGGTTTTGTATTAATGGTTTAATGTTGATGCGATCACTTTTAATTATGGACCACAAAAGTTTTCACCGAAAAAGACCATCATTTTTGGGAAGATCAAATGTACTGTTTGTATGTAGCTGGGACTTTAACCAAGTCCCTGTTTACAGGAGTTGTACACCTAACAGGAGAGGACTGTTAGCGGAGATTCAACTACAATTAACAGTGGCGTTATTGAACGACAATAAACGTACCTCTATTGCTTCTTTGTCTTGAGTAGGCTTATTGGAGCCAACTTGTACACGAAATTTCGACGTTCCCGTCAGCAAATACATCACCGCTGATCGCCCGTGCTGCGCGGCGCACTGCGTCGTGACGTAATCCACAATTTTGTCTTCAAACCTTTTCCAGGGCCCGCGATTAAAGAAGCGATACTGCGGTACTGCATTACTGTAAGTGAAAGTGGCCAGCACGTGATCTTTGTTAAACGAGTTGATGTGAGCAGGATCTAGGTGACCTTTGTCAAATCCCTTGCCACTGTACATTTTGTTCGTGCCCTGTCTGGAGAGTGCTGGAATTTAAACAAAAAAAGCAATTTGATTAAATTTACGAAAATCAAGGGAAGAATGTTTATGTAATCTAATAACAAGGAAGAATAAAAAGAATTTCACTTTCGTGAAATAATTTCAGACGTGACGGTGGCTCATGAATTGACTAATCAACTGAACAACAACAACAAAAACAAAGATACAAATTGTTCTCACCTTTATTAGTTCGCCAGCTGTTTGAAACTGTTTGCCTTGGACAATCATTCATATATTGCGTCTGGTTGTAGGTGACGGTGTACGCTGACAATATAGCAATGCCGGCTTCATCGTCAAACAGAGTCGCGAAGAAGTCCGTATCTGGGGAGTCTGGAATCGATTGACAAATGAAGCGCTCTGATGAAGGATGGTCAACCAAAAGCCCCTGAGGGGGTGAATGGTGCAGAAAATACTTCATGTAGCACTCAGGGGGAGGTCCTTGGGCTGGAGATGACACTGATCTCCGTTCCTTATCTAATAAAAAGGAAGAAAAAAGTGTTTTCACTTTCGTGAAAGAATTTCATTCTCTAACGCCAAGTTCAATACAGTCACTGAATTTAAACTTCCTGCATGATTCACTTCTAATATCTTTCAGAAATCACTTTGTCTTCAGCTCTTATTAACCGAGGTCGTGAGTACGGACCGAACGCAGTGAGGTTTGTACACACGACCGAGGTCAAGATTCTCCCATACAGACCCCCTGCTCGGTTAATAAGATGTTTATTATATGGCAAACAAGAACAATTGAATTCGGTTAATGTAACTGGTTTGTACTAGCTGACATTTTGCTTGCGAACGGCGATGAGCCGAACTTAATTCTGCCAAAGTTTGCTCGTCCTCTTTACTTTTTTTCTCATCAGGCTTTTTGGCACTTCAGTAGATAAATATTGTGAGAAGAAAATAGTCAATATTTTTGCGTTTTAGTTAGCATTTTTTCACCGCAAAATGCAACCGGTCTAGATGCCGCTCTTGATGGGAAAATCTAGACCGCTGTCAATATCGATTTCAACCAATCAAATTCGTGAATTCGGTAGTTCCCAGTCCTTGTGAGACAGTTATATAATAAATACTGTTACTCCCTTCTTACAAGTAGTTTCTTTCTTTTTCGAACGTTCGATATGAGGTAAGAGCAAAGCAAACTCCTCGCTTTTACCTTGTCCGGCCAATCGTTGATTTGCATAATTATACCATAAATGAGAAAAGCCTCAACTCGCAATCCGTACATAGGAAAGTAACCTTTTCTTCTATTTATACTGCCTTTTAGAGCCTTAACTGCTAACTAACATTTGAAATAATTTATTAGAAGTATACATGAAAAGTTCCGCAAGCTTTTGACATAGACCATTATTTCATTTGACTACGGAAATAGAGAACATGCTTTGCGTTTAAACAGGTAATGTTTATCTTACGGGCAGATCTACGTTTACATCATAAATGCATCATAATGCATTATTTTATCCAGAACTGGGCTATAAGTTATGCATTCCGGCCTCTTTGTATAGAGTATGAAACGAAATCTCGTGAAATCATGAAGCCTATTTCTCCTATTTTAAACAACCTTGTCTATGACTGAGATGGATCCGTCCGAGTTCTCCATTTCTCTACCTCCCGCTCAATATCTACCAGTTAACGTCATTGAACTAAATTTCTCAAGTGTTACATGCATGACACATTAATATTTTCAGGCCCAGAAAGGACTTTCATGTTTGTTATATTTAAACTGATCCGCGTTTAGGAACAAATCATTCAACTTACGGTGCTGTCTTGCAGAAATTTTGGCGTAGATTTCCTCTGAAGAATTAATTGGAAAACACCATGTCTGCGTTAAAAGTACCAGCACTAGTACAATTTCGACGATACTATAAGCAGTTAAATTGGTCTTCTGAGAACTGTACATGACGAGAAGTGCAAGATGTCCTCTACTGATCTCAGTCGAGCGACTGAAGGCTTGTACTTAAAAACCCGATCTAAATATTTTGGTTTCGAAGGCTTTCGAAACCAAAATATAAACATATTGGTTGCGACAGAAGTTGCATAACACTGATAAACTTGCGGAAGAGACTTGTTGAAAGATTTACTTACTTCATTGGTAATTTCCAATAACTGAATTAATCCATTATTTTCGTACCTAGTCTGTCTATTCTAACTTCTGGTCGAGTTCTCATAAAAAATGAAAGAAACAAGGGTCGCTACTTTCAGACATTTACTAACTATAGAGTTGAAACTTAAAACATCTTTATTTTATTTTCTCCACTCGTTTTAGCATCGAGCTTTATAGAGACTCCTTTCTAACAAATGAACTGTTGAAAAAAGATGTAGCATTTGGAATATTTCTCCTATAAATGAATAGTCTTGAGGAATAGGAGGCTGAATGTCGTCAGCCGCAGGTGCAATTCAATTTACTAAGAACATAAAAGGCTACAGTCTTGATTCGAAACTTATTTCTTTTGATATACATACTGAAAATAGTGTTGAGGGTGTTTGTCATAGCTTTCAGAAATTAAAATTTTATATTTACAAGGTAACGTTCCTGGGGTTTTCCTGTTTCAAATTTCACAGTAGCTTCATTTTAAAAGCTGGTACCTCGTGAGGAACATAATTACGTCATTATTCAGAGTAAGCCGTTAAATATAAACATGAACTTATGACGGATCAGTTATCGGTCGAAGAAGGATTTGTCTGGGGCAAAGCTTTTCGTCTGGAAGCGTCACTCAACAAAAGCCATTAATATTAAAACCGTCTGCATTTGTTGTACCTCATAAAAGAAAAGTTTATTTTGAGCCAAGCTCAATTTTTCTTCTTGTTTTGTTTCATTGTTTTTTTCAGATATCTGAAGACAGGAATTCCACACAGTATATGGCAGAGTAGGGTAGCCGGTTCCTCTTTCTCGTCAGAGTTATTAATCTGCGTGTGACTGAATTTCAACGTTACACTTCGTCACTGTTCAGAACTCTGTTTATATATATAGCGATGTCCAGTTGTGGTTTTCCTGTTTTTCAAGAGCAAGAAGGAGAATAGACATCTTCGAAGACTTTTTTGATAAAAGTAATTCGAATTTATGACTACTACACGCCAAATCCTGCGGCACTGCGAGATTACATCGTCAATTTTCAAACGCGAGGGGATGATGTGTTTGTTGTAACTTATCCCAAGTCAGGTAAGCTGTTAAATAGCTCACGTGGCAGCCATAACTGCAGATAACTGTATAATGCCGACACTGGGGCACTGTATTTGCTTGGTTGAATACTCTGCATACTCTAGTCCCTGGAGGCTGAAAGTAAAGTAAGCATAAAAGAAACTTGTTACTAAATTTTTTGAATGGTTCGTGTGTGGGGTCTTTGTGTAATGTATTCTTTGACTTGACACTTTACTCTCGCAGTGTCTCTCTCCACTCAGGTTATACGAATGAGTTCCTGTAAATTTATTGTTAGGGGGGAGGGGTAACACTGCGATGCACCACCATCCCATCCATAGGGATGTAGCCACTTCATGCTACTGATGGACCACTCAGTAGGGTTGACTCATTATGCTCGAGTGTTATGCAGCCTCCCAAAATGGACTATATGGTCCAAATTATCCAATTGACTCTGTAGCTATTATGTTTGTATTTATCGGCGAAACAATAACTCCTGCCAGGGTTGCAGGAATCATAGGATAAGCCTTAGGAGCCTGGCATAACGCAGGTAACCAGACTTAAAGAACTAGAATTACTTGAAGATGCACTGGCAGGCTCGATTACCAACTACCAACCGCTGTTCGGGAAAGGAGACACGAGAAAGCGGCGGAAATCGAGCCTAATGCACTGGGAACAAGTCAAAAACTACTTAGAGCTTTTTTAAATTGGTTTGCAATTTGCTTGTAGCTAAAATAATAGCTAAAAAAAAATGAAAGATTGTTTTATCTCAAAATGAAACCACTACACTCGTTATTTTTTATAAGAATATTGTTTTTCCGACCGAGGCTCAATATTCTTATTTTTCTGCTGATTAAAGGCTGAAAATATTCAGTGAATATTCTTAGATTATAGCGAATGACATATTTGTTTCCGAATGTATCTGGTGTCTGGATAGTGCTGAAGTAATTTTGGAGCCAGCCTGCAGGCATTATCTTGTTATCAGGTATTTACAATTAATAAATAACTGTCAATACAATGTTGACGAAGTTAAGTTCTGCTTCGGTCGCCCTCGCGCCGAAACAATCAAGTTGTATAGTTTTCAATCACAAGAAACAATTCATGTTGTAGACTTGTCTTAAGCTTGAAATACATGGCAAAGTGTTTTTTAAAATAATTGCTTTCAGAACTAAAGTTATTTACAATACTGGCATTACCTACAATACTGACGTTATTTACAATACTAACTTTGCTTACACTACTAAACACTATATGCAAAAACTAAGATTACTAAAAATACTAATACCAATTACAGTGCTAACAATACTTACAATACTAACATTATCTGCAATACATGTACTAATATTACTTAATGCTAATTTAAATATTTTTCCTTTTATAAAATGGCAAAGGTGTACCGTCAAAATTGGCCCTAACAAAATGCACGCAACCTGGATACTATCAACCGTATTGTACATCGGTGTGCAATACGTAATATTTCTCAAACTCATTAATGATTCATCAAGTTAAAACAAAGAAAATCACAACCGTGAACGAGGTTTGGATACCCGGTCTTAATTAGCATAGATTTTGACGATTTTATCTCTCCATTTACTTCTTAGTTTTTGTTTCGATTGAGAAAATATATCAAACTCTCGAGACAGTGTTTCACCGGCTATCCAAACACCTCGAATGTAGTTAAAAATACTCCGCTGCACGTCGTATTTTCGACTCTCTTCTCGGTGTCTGGATATCCCGATGAAACACTGTGTCTCGTGTTTGTATAGGTAATCATACGGTTTCGAGTTCAATTTGGAATTAATTTGCACGAGTGAGTTTTTCAAANCGGGAGTTTTTGTGCTGCCTTTTAAGGTATTGAGCTCAGAAAAATATGACAAGAGATAATGGGTTTTTTAGAATTGGTACCTCTTAGGGGTGGAAAACATTTCAAGCCACGCCCACAAAACAGGATCTTGGTACCTTTTAAGAATTCTTTTCAAAATTTCCGACAAGCACTCCTGTCCTTTTTTATATATGGGAACACCTCCCCCAAGTTACCTCACTCTCTATCAAGAACTGTACAACATCTTAAAGAAATCATTATAAGAATGAAGCACCAAATGCTATTTAAAAGAGGACCAAAGTTAACTTAATGAAACTGTGTACATGTAGAATATTGACAGATATTCTGACAAATATCCTCAGAGGTAGCTGTAAAAGTCTGCATACGAGCCAAGTGGCCCATCAGGCAGGAGTTTATTCCAGTTTCTATAGCATGAAGCAACTAGGAGTATTTCTACTCCCCCCTGGATAGGATGCTAGTCCATCGCTGGGTTACCTCCTGCATTAAATTTGCCAGTACCCACTTATAACCCTGGGTGGAGAGAGGCACTGTGAGAGTAAAGTGTCTTGCCCAAGAACACATTGTAATGTCCCCAGCCAGGCTTCGAATCCAGACCACTTGATCCAAAGATGGCTGTAGAGACCGTAAATTATGGCAAAGAATAAGATGCAGATGAAATAAGCATTTCATTATAATTTATGTAAAGGAACATGGTTATCAACAGCAACACACAGTGCTTTCTCTGATTTTCTCTTTCCTGGGGTTGCTGTAATACAGGCTAAGAAGAGTTTATTCTCACCATATAGACAAGTGCTGTCCACTGGAAAATGATACCATAGGTCGCTAACTGTACTTCACCAAAGGTCCCTTTCAAAAAGAGCACATCATTGATAAAATCCTTGAACTAATCATGGCTGCTAAGAATTATCTATAGATTTTCAGCTTTTCAGAGAGAGAGAAACCGCGGGACTCTTACATCCAAGTTGTGACGGATCCTGCAGGCCCAGTGGTTTCTAAACGATCTTTTGAAGAGCTGGCTTTAAATAGCCTGTGAGTCAGCAGTGGTCATTAACAATATTTTCAACTGTTATTTGACCTGGTCTATTCAGGACAGCCTGTTGCAAGGGATCAAATGACAGTATAGAAGTGATTTAGAACTGTTATTATGATCCTCTTTGCCAATATTGTCTTCAAGCAACATTAATATATTGCAGAGTTGTTGGGAGAAACAACAAGCAAGTGTTTTCTATCATGGCATCAAGCAAATCTCCTTTTTGCTCATCTCCAATCCAATCACACATGTGCAGTGTATATAAGGTACAATAAGACCTGGCTGCTTACATCAAAACTCTTACAGCCCTAGCCTTAGTGGAACCTAATGTACATGGCAACAAAACAAGGCACACTTCATTTTGAGGGGGAAGTGTGAATTTGAGCAGCTCCTCTGGATTCATTTTTATTACTAATAAAAAAATAAATATAATTTTAAATAAAATACCAAATGCACTTCAACTATTCCCTTGGCCAACCAAATGTCCTAGTGAAGCTAGGGTTTAACTATACCTGTTAAAAAGGAGCCAGCTTCAAAACTCCACCAGTCAATACAGGTCATCACCAAACCTGGCACTGCAAGCTTAAGAAACTGTCCCCAATCTAACAGACTTTCAGTGGTCCATCCTGCAATATGCATTCAACACAAACTTGCACCTTAATGCCACATTAATTGGAATTCATCTTAGTTTATCAATCAATCAATCAATCAATTACTCAATCACTCAATGCCTCAATTGATTACTCACTCTCTCACTCAAACAATCAATCAATTAATCAATCGATTAGTCAATCAAAAACTTTTATTAGAAAAGTTTTGTTAGGCAAGGGGAAATGCCCCTTGACTAATTGGGGAGAATCACATATTTAGATAACCTTTCATTGTACTTTCTTTTTGGTCTTATCGCCACTTTCTCTTTAGAATTTGTTTAAATAAAAAAAACTAATTACAGGCAAACCTCCTGTAAGCGACCACCAAAAATGTCAAGCGTAAGTGGTCGCTTATGGGAGGTGGTCGCTTACATTAGCATATGGTATATCTGCAGAGACTTTCCCATGTTTTAAAAATTTTATTCATGTGAAAAGTCCATTGCGAGAAAAAATCCGGTAGTGACGCTGTTGAGAAATTTCCATCTCTTGTACATGTAATACCCAGGAATGGCATGATTTTACAACACCTTATTATCCAATTTCCACTCTATAGTCTGTCAAGTGGT